GTCGCAGTTGGTCGTGGAGTTTACTTTTGGTGGTGTTGATGGCGGAGGTGCTTACGCTGCTTTCTTCTTTACAACAGCTTCCTACGCGCTGGAGCCTCCACTATTTCATACAAGCCCCAGTGCCTGAAGAAAGCCCCGAACCCCACCCCCCCATACCCTAAACCCTAAACCTTAAACCCTAAACCCTAAACCCTCAAGACCAGGATAAATAGAAATTGTTTGATGTAACCTGCATGGCCCTATCAATTTTGCTGTGCTTTCAACGTTTCACGAACAGAATGCAAGCACAGAAACGAAAGTTGCAGAAACAAACGTGTTTCCGCAGTGCTTCGACTGGGATTGTGCTTCCGGGAATCTGTCTCTGCGTTCGTGTGTCCGGGGCCAATTTATGCTTCCCCTAGGGCACCAAAATGGCCAAAACAAGGGTTTTTTGGCCCATTTTGCGGATTTGGGTAAATCGCCAAATAAATTTTCGTGATTTTGGACCGATTTGGGCTTTCCGTGTTCGTGATTTTAAACCAATTAGGGCTTTCCGAAGGGCTGCCAAAATGGCCAAAATAAGGGCTTTTTGGCCTATTTTGCGGATTTTTGAAATCGCCAAATGGCAAATTTTCGTGATTTTCAGCCAATTTGGGCTTTCTCAAGGCTGCCAAAATGGCCAGAAAAAGCAAAAGGCAAAACCCGTACAACACCCGCACAAAACTCCGGACATGAACCCTAAACAATTTCTTAAAACCCTAAACCCTAAACCCTAAACCCAAGCCAAAGGCCTCGAACCTCAGCCCATTGGGCGCAGCCCTAAGCCCAACCAGGAGCCTGAAACCTTCAACCCAAAGCACGCAAACGTGGACAGACCTTATGGCTACTATTACGATTACCACAACTGTTACTATTAGACCCCTTTAAGGAACCCTTCAAAGGAACCACCAAAATCGTATAGGTAGTGATTAATCCCCCTGTAGTACTTCGCAACGTGGTGCCAGAGTCCTAAACTTCTACCCTAAAGCCGAAACCCTGGACCCTATGGAACCTACCTATTTTCAGAGCTCCCTAATATGATTTTCGTTATATAAGTCCTTCAAAAGGTAGGTTACTTGAGGTTAAGGGAAACCCTGGACCCATTGCCTGTACAGAGCCCTCAAAGGAACCCCTTGAGAGAAGGAGTGGATCCCTTTGATAGCCAAACCCTAGAGCCCTAAGTCATTCCCTTCTTCCCTACTCAGATCCCCAATACCCAACGTTTAAACTTTTTGGCTTCTTGTAGATTAGTAGGAATCGGAAAGTTAAACCTTTCATTTTGTGTCTTATTGGGGAAGTATGACTAAGAACCCTCAACCCTAAAGCCTACCCGGAGCCCCCAGCTACCCTTTGAATTGATCTCTGATTCCTTATTCAGAGGTAGCGTCGAGGCTGCACTAGAGGGTAGTTGGGGGGGTTTAGGTAAACACTAAACCTGAACCCTAAACTCTAGACCTAACTCATGTGAAGGCCTTCTTGGAGTCGCTGCTGTAGACTTTGGGAAAAAAGGAGCTCAAACAAAACCCAACCCATTTCCCTACTCAGAGCCTTGAACCGGAAGCTCTAAGCACCAAGAGCCAGGGAGTAATATGGAAGTCTCCGGAAATTAGGGGTACCTTACTTGGGGGTCCTTATAATAAGGATCCTCTTATTTAGGGTGCTATATTTGGGTTCCCTATTTTTTCGGAAACTCCCATAATATGTTATAGGGGCCTGAGTAATTACCAATACTATTTTTGGGGCTCCTTGTTAGTTATAATTATTGTTTAATACCCCCCCCCCCCCCCCCCCGAAAACCTTCTGTTCGAATTGTTAAGGCCCTTATACCATAGTACCCTAACAGCATCCCTTACAGCAGCCCCTAAAGACCCCTTTACAAAGGACCCCCCTTCTAATGATGAAGGCCCCTTTATTACCCAGAGACTCCAATACCCCTTCATTGTACCTTGAATTATCGTAGGATCCTTGGTCCGATTTAAGGAATATTCCTTGATTAAGGGGTATTGGAGTCTCTGAAACCACCCAAAACCCCTAACCCTATAGATCCCTTATAGATCCCATGAAGGAACCCTAGGTAGATCCCTTCTAGGATCCTTGGTCCGATTTAAGGAATATTCCTTAAGAAAGGGGTATTGGAGTCTCTGGGTACCCAAACCCTATAGATCCCTCATATATAGATCCCCTGTATGATTATATTTATAGATGCCTTTAAAGGAACCCTAGGCAAACCCTATAGATCCCTTATATATATATATATATATATATATATATATAGATCCCTTATATGATTATATATAGATGTATACATATATATATATATATATAGATGCCTTTAAAGGAACCCTAGGTTTGGGTACGTGGCTCTTCTTCGCCGCCTCATGGCTCAGCGATCCCAGGCTTTGCCAAAGGCAAAGCCTGCTCAGGGCCTCGAAGCTTAGGGTTTACAGGGGTTTAGGGTTTTGGGTTCTAGGGGTTTTGGGTTCTAGGGGTTTAGGGTTCTAGGGGTTTAGGGCTCTAGGGGTTAGGGTTTAGGGCTCTAGGGGTTTAGGGTTTTGGGTTCTAGGGGTTTAGGGTTTTGGGGTTTTGGGGTTAGGGTTTAGGGTTTGCAGAAAGGCTGTTATAGTAGGGTTTACAGGTAACCAACAAAAGTTGCTACATTTAAGGGTCTACCCATAGACTCCACCATCTCTTAGTTACTAGTTAAGGAGTATACCTTGGATCCCTACTATAATTCAAGGTATCTTCCTTAATTATGGTAGGAGCCAGAAAGTTGGAACATCATTATCCTCATGCCCTTAAGTTAAAGTATAAGGGATCCTAGCACGAATCCTCCTAAAGCCATGTTCCAACTTTCTGGCTTCTACTATATTCTAACCCCACCACCAGGTACATGCTAAAGGACATCTATGTAAGTATATGCTATTTATATACATATATAAATATAGACATAACCTGTAGATAAGTGCGAAAAGTGTAGACAATATATAGAAAACATATATGACATTATAATAAGGAGCCCTTCAAACGTTTAGTGTTTAGGGTTAGTTTACGGAGGTATCAACATGTTCAAACAGGAAGGAAGCCGTGTAGTCGGAGTTAGAGTCCAACTTGGCTTTGCAATTCTTTAGGGCCGCAGCTGTCGCATTGCCTTCAATCTGTTGGTAGCGCTGTCGGACTTGATGCAGGACTTGAATCAAAAGGTACCGTAGCCTTAAATAGGTATGAAAGGAGCTACAATGGAGACTAAAGGTAAGTCAATTGAGGGTGTTAAGCAGCTTGGAAACCAGTATTGTTGCCTGGAGCAGGGAATACGAACACTTATTTCAGACTATAACATACCCCGAAGCTCGACTTTAATTGGTGAGGCCCCTATATTAGCCGCAAAAGCAGGGTTGGAGCAAGCCAGCAACAGATTTGAAAAAGCAGTTAGCCATCAGCAGACAGCCTTGATGACCACAGAGAACGATAGCCTAACCCTAAACCCTAACTAAATCTTTGCCGTTCATGACTTCTGCACCCAGCTGGTATGGCCCCAAGTATTTGGGTCTCGTGATGGTTGCTCCATGTTGGCTTGGTTGGCTTATTGTTTTTTTCGCAAATGCTGGCAAGATGACTCTGAGTGGGTGTGGGTTCTCAGGCAGGTTTCTGAAGCTTGACTTGCAACCGCCTGTTTGTTGTAGGAATGTGTGGAAACGGGGTTCTGTAATTATGATGGAACTTAAGGCTTGGCGATTGTTTCAAGGTCATTTTGTGGCATATATAGGCTGTGAATGTTTCGTCACTTTCAGACTGGTTAGTGGGATTTCATCAAGATGCCGACGGAAGTTGGATGGGAGTCGAGGGTTTGCAGATCTGTAGCCCAATCAAAAAAGCCCTCTACTACTTATTCCACTACTGTGGGAATACGAGGAGGCGTGGCAGTGGCAGCAGCAGCAGGAACAGTAGTACAAATGGGGGCCCATGGCAGAAAAGAGAGGGCTCTTCAAGCGCTATTTGCAGCTCCATCCTGAACCCTAAACCCCAAGTCCTCAACCCTCCTAATTCCTAAACCCCCCTAAATCCTAAACCCTAAACCCGAAACCTTGCTGTAAAACCTAGCCTTTGGAGGCTCCGTGGCTCCTTACAATGATTTCTATATAGTGTAGGAGCCTGATAAAGAAACCCGGGGCCTCTAACCCCCAACTAGTAGGGTTCTTATAAAGAACCCTACTAAAGGCCCAAGGTTTCTTAATCAGGTTCCTGCATTGTAAGTCCTACGAAAGGTAGGTTATTTGGGTTTAAGGTTGGACCCGTGACATCAAAAGGGATAAAGATACACACACGAACCCCCTAAACTCTAAGCTCGAATCGAACCGAAAAAGTGCAGCGACCCAGCCTGGACCCAGGTGTTCCTCCCAGGGAATTCCCACATCTCGCAACAAGGATGCTGTGCTGGAGCCTCGGGTCTTCCAACACATCAAAGGCTCCATGTGGGAGTATCCGAAAAATAGTAGGACCCTTATAGTATGGTTTTTGGGCCCAAAAGCCTTAATATGTGGGTAGTTGTCAAAATTATGGCCCCTTTTTGGGTACCCTAAATATTAGGTGCGTATTACAATAAGGACCCAAAAACGGACAATAACATTGACAACCACCCATGTAACAATATAGGGGCGCTTCAGGGTTTTCTGTTCTTAGGTTTTACGCTCAGGGGTTTAGCGTTTGAGGGTTCAGGGTTTTATAGCTTTACGTTTTAGGCTTAGGGCCTGGCGGTTTTATGATTCAGGGTATATATGCCGTGAAGCCCTGGACCCTGGACGCTTACAGGGGTTTGCAAGGGGCTAATCGTCAATCTATGCTTTTCTTGACAGGCTTCGCAGGATGTGTTGGATTTAGTTTTGCTCGTGAGGGCTTGCCATAGAACACATCTTTTGAAACATTGGCTCAAGCTAGTGACCGTCACGTCCCCTACCGAACCGGATTGCCGCATGCTTCAAGGCGGCATGCTCGACATACTATCCGACGGGGCATGCCTCATCCAGCAGCCCCTTCGACAAGCGCCCACGGCTTCGCAATTCAACGGAACTGCCGGACATAATGCGAATACGACGGACCATAGCCTGCAGGACATGATCTTCATCTCGCCGGAAATCTTTGAGACATTGTGTGTTCCCATCCTTGCGCTTTCGGCAGGTGCGATCTTGCAGCAGAATCCACGATCGCAGTCCGCAGGTTTGTTGGTATCCTTCTTCGGCGCCCAGACTGCCATGAACCTCTTCATGAAGCAAGTGTTTCTTAGATCACCAAATTCTAACCTTCATTTTTTGGTGGTTTTCTGTAAGTTTAGCAGGAATGGAAAGTTTAACCTTCCCAAGTTTTGTGTCTTATTGGGGAAGTCAGGTTTTCCAACTACAAGTTGCCCGGCGGCATCCAAGGCGTGCCGGCACCTTTCGCGATCACGGCCATACAGCATCTTAGATCCCCAATATTTGGTCTTTAAGGTTTTTGGTTTGTTGTAGTTTAGTAGGAACCGGAAAGTTTAGTCTTTATATTTTGTGTCTTGTTGGGGAAGCAAGGCAAATCACAAGCTTCCTCGTCCTTTCCCTCGGCCTGCAAGCCGCTCGGTGCTTTGGTCACCAGGCGAACTGTCAGATGCTGCGGACTCGTAAGGAGGTCGGCTGTGTGCTTTTGTTAGCCGTGGCGTTCGTGTGCAACATTGGCCTCAACAACCTCAGCTTGTCTATCCTGGACATTTCCGTCCACCTCATCATTCGAACTGCGGGTGCGTTGGTAAATCTCGCCATCGAGTTCGTGGCACAGCCCGTCCTGACGAACATCACCGGTGAGGAGGCGAAGTGGCCTCAAGTAAACGGCCGGGACTTGCTTTTGACTCTGCTGGGTACCTTCTTCGCAGGCCTTGTGGTGTGCAGCAAGCTCACCAGCTTTGCTTCGTCGGGCTCGACTTGGACTTACTACGTTGGCATTGGGGTGTGTTGCCTGTCGATGATCGCATCGGGCATCGAGCTCATCGTTGTGAGGACCCTTAGCACCCAGTTGCTTGCCGTTGGTTAGTAGGGAATGGAAGAATGGTAGTAATAGTAATTATAATTGTACCCCATTCCTCCATTCCCTACTAACCAACGGTAAGGTTGAAGATGAATGCTTTGGAGGCCATCATGAACATGTCCTTGCCGGCATCCCTGTCGCTGGGCTCTTGTTAGGAGAACTGAATACAAGTTCCGATAATATAGGAACCTAGCGTAAATAATAAATAACATGGTTTTCTCATTACTGTAGCTTGGTTTTAGTTGAAGTGCCCTGACAAGAACCCAGGCTACTTCTGCTGCCGGCTTTCTTCTTCCGGCACTCGGTCTCCTGGCCAGGATCGTCTCCTCTGACCGATTGGCAGGTCCTACAGCAGGTCTGGCAGACTAGCAAGTTGGGCATCGGTCTTGGTGTGCTTTCAGGCATCTTCGCGACACTCTACAACGTCATGTTGTACACCTTGAGCTCCAAGTTTCAGTCCCATGTGATTTCCATGGCCGGCAACTTCAACAAGATCGCGCTGATGTTCCTGTCCATCTACCTCGGCTTGGAATACCTGCCGAAGCGACCCTGGGCCGAGGTGGGAGTTTCCAAAAATTAGGGGTACATTATTTAGGGGTCCTTATAGTAAGGATCCTACTCTTTAATTAGGGGTGCATTATTTAGGGGTCCTTATAGTAAGGATCCTACTATTTAGGGTGCTAATGTTAGGGTCCCCTATTTTTTGGAAACTCCCAGGTGATGATTGCGGGCATTGTGGGCAATGGGCTTGCCTTCATGGTCATGGGACTCTTAAAGGCGACCGAGGTTCCGGTGCCAAAGGAGGCTAGGATGCTTAGGGTTTAGGGGTTTAGGGTTTAGGGTCACTATAGGCTACTATAAGGGTTACCAAAAGGGTTACCATAAGGGTCACTATAGCTAAGATGCCCAGTAGTACCCTTATTCCCTTTTTGTAGTCCTAGGTTCCTTATAAAGTTACCCAGTACCAAAAAGGGAACCCTTTTTATTCTTAGGTTACTGGGTATCCTTGGAGGTTCCGGTGCCAAAGGGGGAGGCTGTGCCCGAGGTCAGCAAGGCCGGGCAGGCGCTGGTGCAGAGGAATGACAGCACCGACAGCACGGACAACAGCAGAGTGGACAATGGCAAAGGAACCACCCAGTGAGCATCGCAGAATAGCTCAGCACAACAGCTGTTCTTTCTCGATACTTCCCTTTCCGAGGGTTTTGAGTTTATTCTAGGGTAGTTTAGGTGCTAACGTAACTTGTCAGCATTGCAAGCAATGCTGATGCGGCAGCACGCTACGTGCGGCTGAGTCCTGCGTTCCTTAGCCCTGGACGGCAGGCAGTTCAAGTCCGGCAGGGTTTACATATAGTTCTAAACCCTAAACCTAAACCCCAAGCCCGAAACCCTAAACTCGCTCATTCTTGCTGCGCCGTGGGGCCGGAGTTCAGGCGTGAAGCTGCGCCAAGCGCCCGGGCAGGGAAGCCACGACGATACGGGAGTTTCCGAAAATTGGGGGTACCTTATATTGGGGTCCTTATAATAAGGATCCTACTATTGAGGGTACTATATTGGGGTCCCATATTTCGGAATCTCCCATACTAAATGCAATAAAGCTCAGTTTTAGGGAGCATAGCTCGAGAAACGACCGCCACTTGCAAAGCCATACTAGACTGGGAAACAGAGGGTTTGCGGCATGCCGGTGCGGCTTGCTGTACTCCCCAATTGCGTGTCCCTGCCTTGGCTGATGAATTATTTCTATTAGTCTATGGGGGCTGAAGCCTTTAATCCTTTACTTGTAGTAACACTATCCCTTAGGGTTCCCTAGCAGCACTACAGCATAATCTACCACCAAAGATATTTGATTATGAATCAAGGCCCCTATAGTAGGCTCTTTTAACTTACACCGCTTCCACCGTCGAAGGCGGATCTGAAGCTTGGTCTTCGAACATGTGCACAGTCACAGCCAAAAAGCTTGGCGTTCTTCTGGTTGACTCTTTAGACTTTAACTTCTTGGGTTCCTATATGAACTATAATAAGGAGGCTAAAAGTTTAACTTTTTTGGAGGGACGTTCAGAAGTCAGCCAAGCACAGTCACAGCTAAAAAGGACTTGCTTTCGGCGGCTGGGGGTGTTGGGTTCAGCGCACCGCCTAAACCCGAAGCCCCTTGACGGACTATCCCTAGAGCCTGTGGGTTCAGAGGCGTACTGTCGGCTTGCTTGCCTAGCTACTTTTCTCCAAGGGTAAAAGGAGGGACCCTTAATATGGACCCCTGGGTATATACCCTTAATACAGCTATTATATACCCATTCTATAGCCAATTATAGGGTAGGGGTCCCCATTTAGGGTCCCTCCTTTTCCCCTTTGATTTTCGAACTGGGGATCGCTTTTGGGTTGTCCCGGAGTGCTAGATGGGTCGGAATACCCCCTGAGACTCGAAATGGCTCAAAGTAGGTACAGAACTCTTTACCGCTAGCATCATGAGCCAAAAAGGTGGACCCCCGCTAGGTTTTCAATAGTCGTTTATGGTCCGAAGGAGGCATCTTCTCACAAACATCTTTGGGCGCTTGGAATTTACAACCCAGCAGAACACGCACCAAAACCAACTCACGAACCCTGAAACTCTACAGTAGAAGCACAAATGTTGGAAACCCAATAGCCTCAATCCTTGAGAGTAATGTATAGGGAATCCCAGCACTTTTCGGCCTTAATCCAGTTTCCGACTTTACGGGGTTTACTGTAAACCTGAACTTACATAAGCTTTGAAGTCCCCAACCTGAGCCCGGATAGAATCTAAGGTTAGAATCAGGGTTCACGGTTTAGGGTAGAAGCTAGGACCTGGAGTAGGCCCTTATTCCCTTCTCTTAGGGTTCTGGTTCCCTTATAAGCCCCTTTAAACCAGAAAGGGCAGTATGGGCCCTTAATGCGGGCCCTCAGCCTTGTAAGGGGGATTCTCAGGACCCTTGCGGGTATAAACAGAGTATATATGGGGCATAAAATACGATCCCAGGGTTAGGCCATACTAGGGGCGTGTAGTTTCAACCTCAGAAGAACTTTCAAGCCCATAGAAGACTCGACAGGTTCGTAGAAAACCGCTGTTAAAGCCTACACAGAAGCCTACCAAACCAGTCCCTGTACAAACTTTTAACCAACCCTAAATCCTAAGCTCCTATATTTCACCGTAGACCGTGTCCAAGGGTGGAGCTGCACCGCCGCTTCTTTGTGGAGAATCAAGGAATGTCAGGAGTGAACGAACTCATCGAGGCACTTCGGAGTTGACCGGTTTTGCAAGGACCTATAGGACGACCTATTTATGGATTATTTGTCTACGGCTTGCTAGGCCGTTTCAAGTGTTGCTTTGACGTCTTTCATCCGAGTTTTATTTAGAAGGCTTTGATAGGGACTTCTAAAACCTAGACCTAAACCCCTAAAAGCCTTGAAAAGGCTTTGGGACTTCGGGCATGTTCTGGAGCGTTTGTGTGGGAGTTTCCGGATGCAGGTTGGGGGTGTAGGGTGTTTAGGGTTTAGGGTTTAGGGTTTAGGGTTTCGGGTTGTCAGAATTTAGCGTGTTAGGACATAGTTTCGGCCGAGTCGCTGTGGTCGTTTCGGCAGAAGGAGCATCGCTGCTTCTTGTGATCTGGGCTTCCAGCGGTGTTCTGGCTCCTTAAAGCGACTGGACATGATGTGTTGCTTTGCATGGGTTACACTACATTCTTGCAGACATGCACATTGCACAGTACCTAGGCCTGCATCACCCTAACCATAAACCAAACCCCATAAACCTTGGGCCCGAGACCCTTATGCTTGCTATTGGTGACGGTTTTGGCCTTACGGGTTTGGTGCTTTGACTCTGACCTTTGTGGATTTGCGGCTTCAGTCCAGTTTGAGCTTTCGTTCAGGCCTGCGGAATGAGGGTGAGAGGTATTGGCATGGAAGGCATAGGATTCATAGGATCGTCTTAGTAATCTTGCATCTCTTGTTAGCCTGAAGAAACCGCCTGACTCGCCCCAGGGATTTTTGCGATCTCTGTAACTGTCCGGAGGCGGACTGGTAAATTCCCAAAGCTGTACAGACTGCATCTATGGAGTTTAATAGGGTCTTAGATGGTGCTATCAGGGTTTGGCAAGGGCTTTTAAACTTGCCCCAAAGGTCCATGTACCTGTATAGTATATACTTTGGCCTTAAAGTAGTACCCAACAAAGTTACTTTAGGGTCAACGGTCAGCGTACAGGTTATTTGGGTACGTGGACCCTGGGGGTTAAAGGGCAGCGATACCCAACAGTTTTGCAGCCCTGCCACTGCCACGCTCCAGCCTTCCATCCTGAATCCGTACTTTAGAGATGCCAACGTAAACTATTTCGGATGATAAAACCCACAGACCCCATCTAAACACCTTATAAAACTCAAACACTTGAAATCTCGAGGCCTTAACCTTCAAGGCTGCACGTTAACCCCAAGTAACCTACCTTCTTAAGGACCTACATATATAAAGAACTCATATTAGGGAACCCTAAAAGGTAGGTTCCTTAGGGTCGTAGAGTCTACAGCCGAAAGCCCTCATAGCCCACGGATCCTCGAAATCTCTGCGTCGCCAGGCCCGGCGCAAGGAAGCCTTGCAGCAGGACGTGCTTATCAAGGTCTGTCTGTGTAACTAGGATGCCCAGTAGTACCCTTATTCCCTTTTTGTAGTCCTAGGTTCCTTTTAAAGTTACCCAATACCAAAAAGAGAGGCCTTTTTATTCTTAGGTTACTGGGTATCCTAGTCAAGGTCTGTCTGTGTAAGATTTCTACACGATTTCTGCAACGCTTCCTATAATGGGCTCCATAGTAGTTCCTTTTTGGGATTACCTTAATTATAGGATTCTAATATGAACGCCAAAAAGGAACTACTATGGAGCCTATGGGTAAGGATTGGAATTTTTTGGGGGTTCTGTAAGAGTGGCACAAGGGGTTCTGGAGCCACAGGTGCCTTACTTAGAGGTTCATGGGACTTAGCAACTAGGGTTATAATTAAGGTAACTACACTTGTATGTACTTATAACCCCAATTAGGGTATTTATGACTGTACTTACTAAGTCCCATGAACCTCCCAAGTAAACCCCTTAGGCTGGCGGAAACGACTTGCGCCGAGGACAGCTGCTCAGAGCCACCCCAAATTGAGCGGGACTGAGCAATATTGGTAATATCGGCCGCCGCGGAATCCTTGAAATATGTATCATAGTTCATAATTAGTTATGCTCTAAAACCCCACGAGCTACACACTTAATGTTTGTGTTTGCTGCAATTAAGCCTTAATTCCTGACCCACCAGGACCCATTTTAGTAGGGTCCTTCTATATTCCATATCAGGGTTTGGAATAAGAGCCCACAAACAAAGTTAGGTTTTGGTAGGCTAACTAAGCCAACATAGCCCTATAACCCCAACAAGCCCTAAACCCTGTGGGGGCCTCAACAATTACCTATACTATTGTGGGGGTTCCTTCACATAATCATAGTTCAATAGACCCCAAAGCCCCACGGAATCGTGGGCAAAGATGTCCGTTTCCGTGGAAGTTGGGCTGCTCAGTGGTAAGAAGGCTACTGTGAATGCCGCCCTGGATGAAAAGGTGGAAACGTTAATGTTTCGTGCGAGGACTGCGCTTGGGGCTGGCAAAGGGCGGCTGGTGGACACATCTGGAAGGGTCCTGGATGCATGTACATCGATCGAGGATTCCATGCTGTTAACGGGCGGTAGACTGATGCTGCACGTCGGCCGAGTTCAGGTCCTTGGCGGCCATGCCGCTTTTACTGCCATTCTTGGCGATGGATCCGCCTTGACGTGGGGTTATGATGAGTATGGTGGTGGAAGTAGCGCTGTGCAGGATCAGCTCAAGAATGTGCAGCAGGTGCAAGTGTCTGGCAAAGCTTTTGCCGCCATTCTGGGTGATGGGTCTGTAGTGACCTGGGGGGGCCGTCACTCCGGCGGCGACAGTAGTACAGTGCAGGACCAGCTGAAGAATGTGAAGCAGATCCAAGCAACAAAACAAGCTTTTGCCGCCATGCTTTCTGATGGATCTGTCGTGAGCTGGCGTCATCCTCAATTTGGTGGCGACAGTACGGCTGTGCAGCATCAGTTGAAGAATGTGCTGCAGATCCAAGCCACGGCATCTGCTTTTGCTGCCATTCGTGGCGATGGATCCGTGGTGAGCTGGGGTGATGTTGGCGAGGGTGGTAACAGTAGCGCTGTGCAGCACCAACTAAAGGCCGTGCAGCAGATCCAGGCCAGTCACTATGCTTTCGCTGCCATTCTTGGTGACGGATCGGTCGTGACCTGGGGTGATCCTCGTTATGGTGGTGACAGTAGTGCTGTGCAGGATCAGCTGAAGGATGTGCAGCAGATCCAAGCCAGTCACTATGCTTTTGCTGCTCTTCTTGACGATGGATCGGTCGTGACCTGGGGTGCTGCTGCCGGTGGTGGTGACAGTAGTGCTGTGCAGGCTCAGCTGAAGAATGTGCAGCAGATCCAAGCCTGTGAAGGTGCTTTTGCTGCAATTCTTGGCGACGGATCCGTCGTGGCATGGGGCGATGCTGTCAAAGGTGGTGACAGCAGTGCTGTGCAGCATCAGCTGAAGTATGTGCAGAAAATCCAAGCCAGCTACTACGCTTTTGCCGCCATTCTTGGTGACGGATCGGTCGTGACCTGGGGTGATCCTCGTTTTGGTGGTGACAGTCGTGCTGTGCAGGATCAGCTGCAGACTGTGCAGCAGGTTCAATCCACGAAAACCGCTTTTGCTGCCATTCTTGCCGACGGATCCGTCGTGACCTGGGGTGCTGCTGCCGGTGGTGGTGACAGTAGTGCCGTGCAGGTTCAGCTGAAGAATGTGCAGCAGATCCAAGCCGTCCACTTTGCTTTTGCTGCCATTCTTGGTGACGGATCGGTCGTGGCTTGGGGTAATCCGGTCTATGGTGGAATTTGTACTGTACAGGACCAGCTGCAGGACGCCTTTACGAAAGAAGCCTAAATACTGACCAATGTTATTACTTAGGGTTCCGAACTCCTCATTATAGTTAGTTATAGCATAATCGGCCCGAAAACCCTATCTAGGATGCCCAGTAGTACCCTGATTCCCTTTTTTGTAGTCCTAGGTTCCTTATAAAGTTACCCAATACCAAAAAGAGAGGCCTTTTTATTCTTAGGTTACTGGGTATCCTAGTAGCATAATCGGCCCGAAAACTCTATTCTAATTACAAAGGCCCCTACATTACCGCTCTTGACTCCACGTCAGAGTTGTCGGGCTCCGGACTCCTTTAGGGGCCCATTTAAGGGTTCCTTAGGGGTTCCTAGGGTTCCTTTAAAGGGATCTCTAGGGTTCCTTTAAAGGGATCTATAGGGGTTCCTTAGGGTTCTAGACGGTGGTTTAGTGTTGAGGGTCAAAGCCTTTCGGGTCTAGTAGCAGGTTTGGGGTGTCGAGTAAATTCGGGGGGCATGCACCCCAAATCTCAGACAAGTATCAAACCTTAGATAACAGTATCCTTATAGTCCTGACTGCAATCGGACATAGTATACCACCAAGCCCTTTTCCCAACATTAAGGGCCCCTTCAAACCTCTGTCACGCCGCATAATAAGCCTTGAAACTTGTAGAACCCTGCCTGAAAGGAAGCCTTCAAAGAGACCCTTTCTGATTAAAGGCCACTTTACATCAACCCCTAAACCCTAAACCCCAAGCCCCAAAACAGAAACCTTAAGCCCAAAACCGTCAACCCTAAACCCCAAGCCCCGAAACAGAAACCTTAAGCCCAAAACCCCAAATCCTAAGCCCTAACCTTCGGGATCGAACTAGCCCAAAAACCTTATATAGTATGGTCTTTGGGCCCAAAAGCCTTAATATATGAGTCCTTAAGCCCTATAAACCCTAAATCCTAAACCCTAAACCCTAAAAACCCTCCTAAATCCTAAACCCTAAACCCTATTAAACTTAAACCCTATACCCTAAATCCTAAACCCTAAGCCCTATATAAACCCTAAACCCTACCTGTATCCCCAAACCCTACAAAATAGTAGGTTATGACCCCTTTATTAGAGGGTCTAACCCTTAAAACGGTAGGTTTCTGGATCCACAGGTATACCCTAAACCCCAAAAGCCTATACCCCTTGTAGGAGCCCTTTAAGGGAACCCTTATCCACACCCAAACCGATAAACCCTAAACCCTAAGCCCTAAGCCCTAAGCCATCAGCTTCGGGTCCGAAGGACCGGCGCATGGCCCGCGAGCACCGGGGGAAGCTCCGGAAACTCCACGAA